TGAGATTTATGTTATAAAATAACGATAGCTGCTCTGTGAGATGTAGTAGAAAGTCCAAAAGCAGAAACAGACTAATTCGGAAATTCTTTACCTTGGTAGAGACATCATAAGATGGATCCATGTAAGACCAGTAGATTTGGAGAAAAAATTGTACACTTGGGGGTTGAGTGAGAAGAATTGGGTGGAACCAGGTTTGAGACATGTCAAGAGTTCCTTTGAGGTACATAAGCAAGCTGTGACTAGAGGAATAAATCAAGGAACCATCAACAGAAAGATGGTGTTCAGGCATGGGGTGGGTGCTGTCTCCTGGAGAGGAGAGTGAAGTGAGCCTCTTGCTAGCTAGCTTTCTTAGGTCCACACCTTTGCTTAATAAGCCTGACAAGTCTAAGATGTAGCCAGTTTCTTGACTTTGGACAAGTTTGGGTAATTATTTACAAAATACTTTTGTAGCATGCCATATTTCTCTTTGTATTTATTGGTTTTTGTACCCCCTTTGTTTCTAGCCAAATCACTTGTTTTGGTAGCTTGTCTTCTTACCTGCACATTCTTGTTCTGTGGCATAAATATTTGAAATAGCATAAGCCCTAGATGCAAATGATTATATTTGAGGTTTTTATTTCCTAGATTCAGTACTATAAGAACTTTGATATAACTGCATTTTCCAGATACATTTTTCCACCACACCTAGTGATATGATCCTTATTAGTAATAACTTCATATCTACACTATATATAAGGATGTTGTTTTACATTCGTTTGATCTTTATATAAATACATATTAATAATTTTTTAAAAATATTTTTAATGTGTGTGAATGTATTGCCTGCATGTGTGTAGTAAGTGCACCCATGTTGTGCAATACCCATGGAGGTCAGAAGAAGCCTTTGGCCCTTTGACTTCTCACTACCAGTTATGTATTATATCTGCCATTGTAGTATTTTTTTTCTTTGTATCATTACATTTTTTTTTTTTTAAAGCTAGTATGTTGGGCCAGTGGTGCAGGCATGTAGTCCCAGCACTTGGGAGATAGAGGCAGGAGGATCAAGAGTTCAAAGCCAGCCTCAATTACATAATGAGTTGAAGTTAGCTGGGCCAACTGAGACCTGCCTGAAAAACAAATAGCAACAAAAAGCTTTGGAGATGATTACCTTGTTTTGAGAAAGGATCTCACTATGTAGCCCAGGCTAACCTTAGAACTTAAAATTCTCCTGCTTCTTACTCCTAGTTGCTGAGGTTGCAAGTGTATGCTATCACATCCGTGGCATGCTGTTGTTTGCTTTTTTTTTTTTTTTTTGAGGGAGGGACAGGTCTCATACTACATAGTCTAGGCTGACCTCAAACTCATGGCAGTACTTTTTCTTGCCTTAGCCTCCCAAGTGTGGGAGGTATGCACCCACCCCTGTCTAGCTTTCTGCAACCCCCTTCCTCCTCCTTCCTTTGGTTACTGTAATAGGGCAGAGTCTCCCTATAGCCCCAGCTGGCCTAGAACTTGCTATGTAGACTAGGTTGTCCTTGATTTCACAGAGATCCACCTGCCTCTGCTTCCCAGGTCCTGGGGTTAAAGACATAACACCACTATGTCTGGGTATAATAGGTTTTAAAAAGTCCATATGTCCTCAGTCCTACAGCCTACTTAAATAAATGAGTCTTGGAGATGTTACATGGTTTACTGAGATCGCCCAGCCAGCTGAGTTGAAGAAGGTTCATAGCAGACCATAATTTTTCTCTTCATTTCCAGACTGGTAGATTACTTTACTTCTCATACCCTTCTGCTCCTGCCCCCATCCTTTTACAGTGGGTGTTGTTAAAATAGTAGAGGTCTGGGGCTGGAGAGATGGCTCATCGGTTAAGAGCACTGACTGCTCTTGGATAGGACCCAGGTTCGATTCCCAGCACCTACATGGTGGCTGTGAACTGTCCTTAATTCCAGTTCCAGGGGAATCCGAAGCTGCCTTCTGACTTCCGTGGCATTGCACAACATGGGTGCACTCACTTACATGCAGGCAATACACTCAAACACATAAAATAAAAATAATAATAACATTGTATTTGTTTCTAAAGGAGGTGATGATGAGAGGACTGAGTGATGCACAAATACACAAACCTTTAAAAGTATTTTCTCTCCCAGTGTTTGTTTCTGTAAACAAATATTTATTCAGAAGTGAATTTCTTTCCTAAATATTAAGCAGAAGAAATTTAAAATTATTAAAATTCAAAGTATGGAGTCACTAATTCTTACTGACAGCATGCTTTCCTACTCTTAGCATGTACATTTGTGTTATTTTTCTCATTTTAGTAGCTCATCTCATCACTATTGCTAATTTAAAGTTGAGTTCACATTATCGAATCACTTCACATTTATAGTGAAATTCAACCTCTCCAATCCTTTTGGCTCTACCACTCTTTCTCTTGGAAAGGTGAGGATGGTTTCACCTGTACAGTGGGAGGAAGAAATGACTAAAAACAGTTGTTTTAGCTTTGTTCTATTTCTGGAAAATTCAGCGCCCTGTGAGTCATTATCTGCCATTGGAGGCCATAGACTCCAGTTGCAAGATCCTAAGTTTATTGCATAAGCTAGCGCCTGACCTTCAGCACCCTTCAGTTTCTGATAGCATAGTCAGGATTTGAACTGTTGACCTTGAGAGGAAAGTCTGGATGACAGGATTTGTTCAGGTTCTCATAGTTCTCTTACTTTGGCAATTAGAGTTCTCTGTAACTTAGCAGCTTCTTTTTCATGGAGGCATGCACAAAGGACTTTTTTTTTTAAATTTTTTATTATTTTTTATTGTATGTGTGTATTGTCTGCATGTAGGTAAGTGCACCCGTGTCATGCAATGCCCGCAGAGGTCAGAAGAGGCCGTCGGATCCCCTGGGACTGGAGTTAAGGACAGTTGTTAGCTGCCATGTGGGTGCTGGGATTTGGACCAGTGTTCTTAACTGCTGAGCCATCTCTCCAGCCCCAGGATTTTTCTTTCTTTCTTTCTTTCTTTTTTTTTTTTTTAAAGCTAGTCATAAAATTTGAGCCAAGAAGTTAAAGAAGAATCTCTTTTAAATGAGTTTTGGCCTGCATGTATGTGTGTGTATTATGTGTGTGCAGTGCCCAGGGAGAAAGGATGTCAGTCCATTGGACCTGGAGTCAGAGGCAGTTGTGAGCAGTCAGTGGGTAAGTTGTGAGCAGTCAGGAATCAAACCTGGGTCTTCTGCAAGAGCAGCAAATGCTCTTAACTGCTGAGCCATTTCTTCAGCCCCTATGTCTCTCTTTAAATGATTGGAAATGATCTCAGTCTTTCTTCTAGTAGGCTATGACTGCCACACTCGTATTCTCAGATGTCACAGATATGCAAAGGATGTCTTCCTCATCATTGGAAACTCTGAACTCCTTAGTGCTATAGGTTTATTAGAAGTTAGAGATTTACTGTGCTAGAAGCTCAGATCAAAGCAAGCTCTAGGTCTTCAGTGCTAGCACCCAGTAGCTCCTGCTATAGACTCAGAGCTGCAGGTGTTAGAACCCTTGGCTCTTAACTCTTCACAGCTCACAGGAACTCTTCCAGTGTCCTGGGATCACTCTCTCAGCTCTTCATAGCGTCTTGCCACCTCAGTATATCTGACTGTAGTCCTTAATCTCTTCAGTCTCTGCTGGCCACTCTGGAACTTTTGGCTACTTCCCAGCTCTGTTTGGGGTCGGGGACATGACGACACTGTTTCCTGAGCTTATTGTCTTAGGAGTTGCTGTCCAGTTGTCTTCTAGCTGCTGATGCTTGGGCCTAAAAGCCTAGGGTTTCGCCTGCTCTTAGTGTTTCCAATTCAGTCCATGAAAGATCATTAGGAAAAAGCACTATTGAGTCAAATGTTGCAACACAGTGGGGAAGTATCTAAGAGAAGCCTCCAGAACCCTGATAAGACTGAGAAATAATTTGTCTGCTTGTATGATTGGATAAGGGGTGTGGCATACTTGAACTCTACCAGTCACAACCTTGCTGGTACATGGCTTCCAGTTATACCATTCATAACCTTACATATAAACAAATTACAACTTTACTTTGGAACCAGTCACAAGTCTTACCTTGTACCAGATAGAGGCTTTTTATTGAGTTATTGGGGGAGGTGCTCCCCTCTCATCTTGAGTAGATGCAAGGTGGGCATTGTCATCTAGATTTTACTGAGGCTTCTCTGCCTCAAGTAATTTGTCAAAGCCACAGGTCCAAGTTGCCTGGAGCAATTGTGATTGGCTCAAGACATCCTTGAAGCAGAATAGTAGCTTCAGCAGTGACAGTGGTTGTGGTGGTCCTTGCAGCTGGCATAGAACTTTCTCAGAGGAATTCTGGTGTGTTCAAAGCAGCCAGCCTGCTGTGATGACTGTTCTGTCAGTTGCCAAAGAAAGGGCTCCTTATTTGACAGCTACTCACTAGAACAACCAGGCACCAGGGAAGGGTCTGTCAGTTATCAATCATATGGCCAAGTGACTGTTTTTAGTAGTTTAGCTTATTTAAAGGAACAAAACAAAACACTAAAGGACACTTAAAACAAGTACCTATTCTGGAATAAACATTCTCAAAAGTACATAACAGAACCATACTTAGCCCTGGGGTTGGGGATTTAGCTCAGTGGTAGAGCACTTGCCTAGCAAGCGCAAGGCCCTGGGTTCGGTCCTCAGCTCCGAAAAGAGAAAAAAAAAAGACAAAATAACAGTACTTAGCTCCTAGCTAGATACCTTTAGGGTCCTTAGCTCAATCTCATCAGCACAGATCTTTTGTCATTCAGGTTTGTCTTTCATTAGTATAAAACTTGTAACTTAGCCCTCTCCATATAGCCCTCAATATCTGCTACAGTAATTTTGTATGTAGTAGTTTATTAATGTTCTATGAATGTATTCTATTTTTAAGGTATATTAGCTGCAGTTACTGTGATAAAGGAAACCTAAAATTTCTCTTCATTGAAGACTATAATCAAATAATTAGCTTTTTAGGAATGACTTATTTACAGATTTCATTTTTAATGCAGGGCAGAATCTAGACAGTATGCTCCATGGTACTGGGATGAAATCAGACTCGGACCAGAAGAAGTCAGAAAATGGAGTGACATTAGCACCAGAGGATACTTTGCCTTTTTTAAAGTGCTATTGCTCAGGACACTGCCCAGATGATGCTGTAAATAACACATGCATGTGAGTATTGGTGTAGTCCTTATGTGTTAGAAGAGCACATTTATTACTATTTCAAGGATTGTTAAAGTTGTCCAAGTTTTTTCCCTTTCTTTTTCTTTTTTATTTGGACAGGGTCTTCCTGTAGCCCCAGGTGGTCTAAAGCTCTCTATGTAGACCAGGCTGGCCTCCATCTCACAGAGTCCACCTGCCTCTGCTTTTCGAGTGCTGGGATTAGAGGTGTGTGCTACCATATTCAGTCCTTCCTTATATGTGGCATCTTTCTAAAGAGCCAGAAGGCTTCTTGGTTTGAATATAGGAACATTGCTATCATTAAATGATTGATGATATTTTATTAGTGATGTCATGATATAGCTTCTTATATTTTCGCAGACTGGGAATTGAACTCAGGGCTTTTTGCATGTTAGGTAAGTACACTGAGTTCTATCAGTCAGTGCTGGATCCAATTTAGTTTTTTAAAGGAAATAAAAGGAATCTAGTATTTGACTAACATTTTCAGTTTATTTAATGACCTTTTAGTCATAAAGTTAATAGCGATCATTGTAGAAAACTCTGAAGAGAAAAAATTTCATTTTCTTAACCAGTTGAAATACTGTATAGATACATAAGAATGGTACTGTGATAATTAGTTTTTTACTTTCTTATCAGTGGATTTCTAATCCAAATCTGTTTTACGACTTCATTTTTCCACTAAATTTTATATTAACAATTCAGCCCAATTACATATGGTCATTGAACTCTAGTCTTTTTTCTTTTTTCTTTTTTTTTTTTGATCATTTTGAAACAGGGTCTCCCTGTAGCCCCACCTGGCCTGGATTCACTATGGAGACCAGGCTGGCCTCGAACTCACAGAGATCCACCTGCCTCTGCTTCTCAAGTGCTGGGATTAAAGGCATGCCCCACCATGCATGGCTATAATCCATATTTTTAAAAGCATTTCTTTGTATATGCATGTGCACATAAGATGTATGTGTCTGCGGGTGCCCATGTGGAGGTCAGGGGACAACTTGCAGGAATCTCTTCTCTCCTACCCATGTAGGTTTCGGGCATGGAACTCAGGTTGTCAGGCTTGGCAGCAAGCACCTTCACCTGCTCAGCCATCTCACTGGCTCACAGTCTATATTCAATGAGGTACATTGAAGAACTGACTTACTGTACAAAAATAAAAAAAAGTGGGTCTGGAGAGATGGCTCAGGGGTTAAGAACACTGACTGTTCTTTCAAAAGACCTGGGTTCGAATCCCAGCACCCACATGGTAGCTAACAACTGTCCGTAACTCCAGTTCCAGGGGATCCGACATCCTCTCTCCATGGGCATTGCACGACACGGGTGCACTTACCTACTTGCAGGCATTACACATAAAATTAAAATAATAATAATAATAATAAAAACCCAAGTATATACAACTCAGTCTCATCAGTCAGTTAATCATCTCCTTGTAGAAGTACTAATGATGGTCAAAATTTGTACTTCCTTAATTATTCTATGCTCTTTGAACGGACTGGATTTAACACATAAAACTTGATGTGTGAAATCATGAATATGATGCATTATCCTTCAGGATAAGGAATGATATCTTTGCTTGGTAAAAAAAATCAAGCAAACATTAAAATGGTAAAATTCATGAAAAAGAAATATATTTATATAGATTTCTTTATAATTTAACCATTCAGAACTTCTGCTTTCCTGTCATGTATAATATATGAATGTTATGGGTAAAAGATTAAAAAGTTTTGAAGTGTATTTTCAAAGCATTGATTATAAAATTTCATCAACTTTCTGTGCTCATGAGTGTGACTAACAGACATTACTTAACAGCACATTTGGAGGACTTACTGAAAGAATCTCTTTCTACCTGACATAAGATAGGGTTCTCATTGGCACTCTAGAAGGCATAACTTTGATTTGCACATGTGCATGCATTCATGCAGAGAACAATTTGCTAGGGTCAGTTCTGTCCTCCTACTGAGCTATTGATTCTCTGCCCCCACCTTTTTTCCCCCCTTAATGAGACAGAGCCTCCCTGTGTAGTTCAGGGTAACCTAGAACTCAAGATCTCCTGCCTCAGCTTCCTGAGGGCCAGTATTACAGGTGTGTGCCACCATGCTCGGCTCTTTCTGTTGTGAAATTATGTTATTTTTCTCTCTTTTAGAACTAATGGGCATTGCTTTGCCATCATAGAAGAAGATGACCAGGGAGAAACCACATTAGCTTCTGGGTGTATGAAATATGAAGGATCTGATTTTCAGTGCAAGGTGAGATCTAATTTGGGACCCACAAAATAAAGAAGGGTAGGACTGTGTGAACAGTGTTAGGTCCCCTTTTAGAGTGTATCTGTCCTTCACGCTGCTGTGTCTTCATGAAAACAGATTTGCTAGAGAAAGCTTAGCTCTTCAAGTAATAGGATTGTGCGAATTCAAGTTCCAGATTATTTTACTTTAAGAAAGTTTCAGTCATTCCAGATTGTCATTACTGTAAAAAAAAAAAAAAAAAAAGTAAGACCAAAAAAGTGTATTAGCCATTAATTTCATACAAAAATAAGTGTTATTAGTAAAAACAATGAGTCTTTCTGTAAGAAACAGTGTATTTTAAAACAAAATGGAGATCTTTTTTAAAGGTTAAAAACTCATTCCATTTTATCTCTTACAGGGTTTATACTGAGTTCAATATTGTATAACTGTATTAAGTCAACTGTGAACCTAAAAATTTACAGCCACTGTTGAAAGAGATGTAGCCTTGCTCTGGAGTATTTTTACTGAATATGTGAACGCTGTAATGAAATACTTCTAATCATGTGGTTATTAAATTTTTAAAAATATTTTAAATAATAATTCTTCAAAGCATAAAAATTTGCTCCTTAAAGAAGAT